TCGAACAGCAGCGTGTATTCCATCCCTATACTCCATGTCCTTGCCAAACTTTGGGAGTTTGGAAACCGCTTGGCTAAAAAGCCCTCCTCTTCGTCTTTTCCATTATCTTTTCTTTGCCTCGTCGTGTTTCCGTGGCTCATGCTAATCTTAGCTGCACTGGCAATGTCATGAGAGCGCACCTTTTCGAATGAATAGTATATGCATTATTGTTCACTACTTGTTTTGACCGGTAGTAGTATGCGTAGTGTGTCTCACGTTACGGGGAGTTATGGTATGCCACACTTGTTTGAATAGTGCGTGAGTGAATTAGCGATGTGAATGCGGTTGTTCGGTGTTTTTCTGAATGTAGCTTTGCGTCTAACCATGAGATGAGAGGATTATTCGCCAAGTCTAATTGGCTTGCAACTGTTCCGTGGGTGACATTACGGAACCCTTCTGAACCAGAGTTAGAGGAATTTCGGAGTAAATTAAGTAATTTTTCCCAATAAAGAGCCAATTCTTCTTCCGCGTGGCACAAAAATGAGCCTTTAGGGTATAAGTTCTTAGGCTTTTTGTATGGACAACGAAGGCGAGGCAGTCTGGTTTCTAACAAGTGACTACATTTAAGTGAAATCTCAACTGACGATACCATGATCGCTTTGTCGAAATATTCATGGAGGTTGGTCATTCTTCGGCCATACAGATGCGACCTCATATTGTGGCCAGAATTTCACAGAAGGTAATCCTCTCCAGCCTCCAAACGTATTGATGAATGTGATTGTTGGTCGAGTCTTCTCGGTCCATTGAAAACTTAGCGAGATGCTTTCATATTTCTGCATGAGATTACATTTGTCTGATCAAGCACCGCGCACTTAACGCACTGTTTTAGCTGCGGAGTAATTTGATTGGCGAATGCAAAAAGTGAGTTCTGCAGCTCCGAAGCTTTGTCGTGGATACTTTTCCCCATTTAGAGTCCGAGTGAATCTTAAGGAGATGCGGAAACTGACCGGCATGCTAACGAATGCGATGTCTACCATACTGGCCCTTTTAGATATCGCTACGTTGAAGCCCGTACTTCGGCATTCGGTAGAAAGTTTGTATATGCGCGTACAATACTGATTCGTCATGGAGTACACAAAGCACTGCCTTTTCCACATCTTTTGTCAACCTGATTTTTCAGATCATTTTTCAAGAACTCTTTTTATGGCCGGATAATCGGGTTATCGTCGCTGCCTGTTTTTCATCCGGGAATCTTTGTCGTGCCGAGGGATCCGTGTCGTACAGTGCATGCAAATGTTTTTGATCTGACCGCGAACTGTGGAAAAACCGAGATTTCGTGTTTCCGGCTAAAAACGATGTGACCTATTCGATTGTGGGCATCGTTTATTCGAATCAGGTTATCAGGGATCTCTCATGTAGTATAAGAATTTTAGCAGTTTCTTGGTGGCTCAAGGTGAGGAAGACTGTACTTGGCTGAGAGCCCTTGAGCGGTGTAACCTTCAGGTTCCACATTTGCTTGATTTACGAGAGCTGCCGCACAAACTCTCTGGCTGCGGGTGGGTATTTGATCGATTTCAGGCATCTATGGGTCATCCAAACTACCATTTGGAATTCCAACGAAGCGCTCAACCACGACTCATCTCATCCCTCACCTCAGATCCGATTGCATGTACCTCGTTTTGATTTGTGTTGCATACCACACCCCTAAAACGTCATTGCCACACGCCGCCTACTTGTGAAGTCACGGGCGCACGCGAGCACACAAGAACCGGTTATGGGCTAATGATTTTTGCACTTTGCATCTGTTCGGTATACCCACACTGGACCTTTTCGCTGCAATCAAATTCTATGTTCTGACCCTGTTCGTCTTCTGAATCCACCAGCGCCCGCGCACGACACTCTGTTTGTCCCTCCCTCTCTCTCTGTGTTGTCTACAGTTTGAATGAAAAGAACAGAAACAAAACAAGATTTATACTGGTAATACTACCATCGTTTCCAGTCCTGCTATCATTATCATGATTACATAACCACTGTTCTGCGTTGCGTCGTTTGCGGTTTGCCGTTTTGTCTGGATAATATCTATCAGTCTCTTTCCTCGGACGATCCTTCCAAATTAGACGACTGTTGTCTGGATTAACCGATCTAACTGGATGCCACTTTTTGGGTTGACTAAACTAATTGGCATCGCTCTCTTGCTTTGTCACACGGTGTCACCAGGGTTTTGGATTCGTCACATTTGCGACAAGTGAGGAGGCCGATCGCGCTCGAGAGAACCTCAATGGCACGGTCGTTGAAGGAAGAAAGATCGAGGTTTGTAAAGTGTCTGTATTTTTCCTCTTAGTGCTAGTTATCTGATTCAATTCAGGTGTTTCTTTAGGTTAAACGTAATCCGGGCCAACAAAATGAGCGGACGGAATGGACGGGAAACGCTATGTCAGCCATCTTTTATAGAATATTTTACTGATTTGAGTAGAACTTACTTACTACTTATGAGTAGTACATTATAAAGATCTACTTACATTTGAGTTTGAAGGTATAGACATCCTAAGATGAATGCAATAGCCTGGCACTACGTTGTTCCCCGTCCACGCTTTCCTTTGGCCTTAAAGGTAAGCAAGCAAACTTTTTGGTTGCAAGGTAGTGAGGTACCAGTGTCCATGGCGATTTTGGTGCTCGTGAAAATGTAAATGATCAAAAAACATCCGAAACAAATTTCCTATGTTGACTTCCACCGCAGTACTATGTTGAGTGTTCGTCCCTTGTACTTGATCACTGTAGAGTCACACTACCATTGCTCGCCCATCTCGAAACACCGTCCAACGAGTCGAATGTTGTTCCCCCCTGCCTCCTTCAAAATGGCGCATACTTTGAGGTGGACAACGTATAATTTGGCAGAAAGGTGTGAAAGAGACCACGAAGAGTTTGGGTGTTGTCAGTGCATTACGCCCTTCAGGATAGGGTCCACGTGGCCCCTCCTTCGCTTGGATGGATACATTGGAAGAAATGGAGGCTGATCGGTGTCAGTGGCGATCGTGTTGTCAGTTTCTTTCCAGATCGTCTGATTGAGCGCTTGGAGGTGTAGGCATCTGGGAGTGCTTGACATAGGCCAGCACTAAGTCCCCGCTCTCAGCCACTCTTTTCTATCTTCCCTTCACTCTAAGGCTTGAAGGATAACTAGATGAATTTCATGGCTCTATGATAGTGAAGCATGAATATCCCGTCTCTGATGATGATGACGATGATCGTTGCTTGGATTCTCACACTGTTGTCAAAAAAACTAAATGAGACTGTTCGCGATTATAGGGGCTCATCGATAGTCCATGGAATGCTGTGATTCAGGCTGAATACTCTTGTATACAACTCTCAAGAGGCAATTGGCCTCAGTTTCACAGTGCTGCCGTTGAACGCCTCCTATATATAATATATATATATATCCCTCTGTGGAGTTTAGCTCCGGACAGAAACAAACCCTGCGGCGTGCCATTCTCGTAGGTTGATTTTTGACCAACCTGTCCTGCTTTTCAGGGCGTTTTATTCATAACCGAATTGGTTCACCTAGGTATAACACACTACTTATGAGGTTTCTGTAAACCCTTCGACTACCCGTGGCGGGTTTTGCCCTCGTTGGGGCTAATTAACACTAGTGTGCAAATGAGAACATAAGGCAAATCAGTTTACTTGCTGTTGGCAACTGAGTTGTAATCTCAGCCTGTCACCCAGTTTTATTTTCACTGGCCTCATGAAATCACATAAACAGACAAACACAGACTTCCTTAAAATGTCGTGGTATATCACGAAGCAAGCAAGTACGCTACTGTTGCCAGGTAGCGCCATGGGTTGCATTCCTGAATGGGGGTGATTAGCCTCGTTTTCCTGAGGCAAATGAAAAATTGGTTCCAGCTCTCCGCGATCGAACAATTCGTTTTTTTGCAAACGTTGATCTGCCGTTTTTGCCGTCAGATGCACGGCTTTGCGCCAAGCAGACGAATACTTTCTCTTGTACCTCTGAAAATCATTCATTTATCAGTCTTGTAGACCAGTCATGGATCATCAAGGTGCGGTGGGTTTCGACAGGTAGGTGCAACTGACAGCTTGTTTGGCAGTAACTCAATCCTGGTCTGTCGTGCAGCTGTGCAGGCCGAATTCTCTAATCGATCGGTCAACCACACGAATACAAGTTCTGGCAGTGTACACTGCTTGTCACGCGATCTTCCGAGATATTATCCGGATGAATAGCTGTACACGATGACACCACAGTACCGTGGTTCTCTAATTTGTGCGGCAGTCTGGTTCACCGGGACAATCTTTGCCAAGGTTGAAGGAACATAGCAGGTTATGAAGCAAAATAACATAAACGAGAGATCCATCTGGGATTCAGTTGAGTCTTTTGTTAAAACTTAATGAGTTTGCAAATGAGTGCATTTCAGAAATCCGGTCATTGTATTTAAGTTCGACAAGTATCTGTAGTACTCACTCTTTATAGTATATTCCTCAGCTTAGTTCTCGGTTTGAGCCTCCCAAGTTAGTCTGGGTGCGGCATTGGCAACCGGCATTCGGCCATGATTGGCTGTTGGGTCCAGACATTCGACCAATCAGATCTCAGCTTGATGCCGGACCGGCAAGCGTCCAGAATTTTCGGCCAGTCTTGGGTGGGATAGGCCTCTCGACCGTAGTAGCACCTGAATGCGAGCGGTAAAACAGTATGGAATTCCGCCTAACACCTTTAAAGCGCAGCACCTTTTCCTACCGTTCATTACGGTTTTTTTAAACGATATTAAAACGGCAGAAATACATCCATGAACTTTTTATCTCATCCATGGATTGAAAAAGCCCTTTGATTGTCGAATCGACGATACATTAAAGGAGCCATTTGCATAGGTTTAAATGAACACCAGCGACGCTAGACATTCAACTGAGAGTTGAAATCGCTATGTAATGCATATTATGTAACTCTGTGCCAATTTCTGGGCTTCAGTATGGTTTTTGAATTTTAACGTTGATTTTCTCCCATCTCTGCACAGATTAACAATGCAACTGCGCGTGTAATGACAAAAAAGAAGTCTGAAACGCCCACCTCATTACGAAGTGAGTGATCAATGTTTAGTTTCAACGCCGTCATCACCTGAACATATTAGTTGCGTTGCCCGATGAATTGTTATAGAGAATAACAGCAAACATTTTGGGAGGCCACACCTGCAAAGACTGACCAGCTGAACCCACTTTTAAGTGTCTAAAGAGAGCCTAGAGAGAGTCATTGACGAAAGCCGAAGTGCGTGAAATTCCGCCACAATTATTGTGGACGCATTTTTGCATGCACATCAATCGCATTTGAACAGTATTCCACCCTGTCCTAGTGCAGTTATTCTGTCCTTCTTGTTAGAGCTCATCAACAGTGAATACTCTTGACCTTGCGGGGTTGTATGCACAAGGGCTGTGATATTTCTAGGTCGCCCGAGATAGAAGATAGATAGAAGCAATCGAAATGCCGACGTTAGGCTCGAACAATTGACCTTTCGGCCAGTAAGATCGCGCCCAAACCACTCAGCTCTCTTGAGCTGTACGGAGAGTAAACTCTATAAAGAATCTTCTTTCTGGACCAGGTCGATTCAAACCTAAGTAGATTTCAAAGTCTCTGTTCGAAAACAAAACCTTTTTTCTTATAATTTCGCGGTTAATAAGCCGGCGCGTGACTACTGGACAAGAATGTTTCACCGTAGGAGAGCACGTGGTACTTGGTGATCGATTGTGACCACCTTGATTATTGATCGAGTGAACACAAGGTAGATGTTATCCATGAACAACGAACAGAGATAACTATCCCTGGTAGCTCACACCCAACTTGGATTCCCATGAGTGATGTTTGGAATTCCGAAAGCTTGACTCCAATTTAAAGGGTCATGAATGATTTCAACAGCATCTGAATCTTAAAAAAATTCCACACCGACCAGATTTTACACTGAATCAGAGTATATGGCTGGTGCATAAGTTTGAGTGTCCTCAATCAGCCTCAGCCCATAGTATTCGACCGTTTTCATCCGAAACCCCACAGACGAATAACTAAGCTTATCTCTTTAGTTCCATGGAGAGCTACTACTTCGATTTATTCCCCGGTGGCAGCGCTTGTTCTCCTCTTCCTCCTATCCCTCATAATCATCATCATCATCATCATCTGTAAGAAACGCCTACTTATCGTACAGTGATTGTAGCTGCCATAGTTCTGTTTACAAACAGAGAGGGCAGGTTACTGCGCATTGGAGGTGGAAGCTGGCATAATTGCTGCGTAAATACAGGGTTGTCAGTGGATTTCTAAGTGGGGAGATAGGGAAAGGAGCAATGTATTGAAGGCAATAGCTTGGATGCATAAGCGCCATTGAGGGCGCGCTCCTGCCTCATATGTAGGGACACGCACGAATACTTATGTTGTCAATTAAACGGAATGATAAGATCGGTTAACTTTATGCCACAACAGGATTTTAGAGAGTTTATCTAAGTAAAGGGATATTTCTCGCATCCTATATTTCTTTGCGTTTGAAAATCAGCTTTTATCACTTCGGAAAGTGATTAGGAGGTTTGCGAAAATGAATTATTTTGCATACTGCAACTTTCCCACTAGACAATTTAGTGCCTCTGATATTGACTTAAACTCAGAACTAGTATTGCGTTTTATAAATCCCACACCCACCAGTCTACCCAGATCTGGGTAGTTCCCGTGGAGGAGTTTAAGTACCATTTTGGAGTCGATGCGAGTGACCGTTCCTCAGGGGAGTTCCACCTTGAAGGAAAGAGGAGTCACCACCAGTGAGAGCTTGTAAAACGGACAAGAATTTAGCAGTCGTAGTGAGTACTATTTGATCTGATTTTCGTTCGTAACACAACCCTCTGATGTATCAAAGATCCAAATATTTGGTAGAATAACCTGAGGTAGTTGCAAACTTAGATAAATATCGATTTTAATCATGGGGGCGCATCCATGGCTTTAGTAACAATGCTTCTGTCTAACGTAGTTACTTCAGTCGTGTCATTTTACAGAAAAGAGCTTTGCGGTTTTGATTTTGTGTTCCTATGGATCCTGTGAAACCTGAATTATCATTACAGCCTCCACTACCGTTCGGGGAGTTCGGACACTGGTTCCAAGTACAACTGCAGCGTTGGCCGCTGTGATTCGAAACGCTGCTGGCTTGAACGCTGGCCTGCCAATTGCACCCATACCTGCCACTGGTGGCTTATCTCTTGGTGTGCAAGGACTGGGAAACCTACTTCAAGGTCACACTCAAGCTTCTCTCGCAGCAGCGGCCGCGGCCAATCCGGTATTGGCTAGTTTTGGTGCACTTCCTGGCGGTTCGTCGGTTACCCCAAATCACGCGTTGTTGGCCGCTGCCTTGGCTTCTGCTGCGCCTCAAACTGCGCATTATAATCCTGCAGCCACCGCTGCACTCTATTTGGCCGGTTCCGATCCAAATATGGCGGCCTGGTTGGCTGCTGCGATAAATGGCGGCTGTTTGAACAGTGCAGCTGGATGTGCTACTGCCAACCCACCCACAGCTACAATTCCCGGATTTGGCACGCAGTCGCAATCCATGGGTTTGATGAACTCTCTCGCCGCAATGGGGGTTATTCCGCATACATCACACGTTTTGGCTCCTACAGCGAACACGCCGCTTGTTGCCAATCCACTGGTAAGTTCATCTGACGGAATTCATCGAATGAAGTGAACAGTGTGAATAATTTGGACGTGTAGGCCGTCGTAAATGTTATCTTCTCGCCAGGAGACCAAAGCCGACTTCCAAAAATAGCAGGTAATCTGCGGTGGTTGCAAGTGCTATCCGCGTGGATGGTGGGCAATGTATCTGATGAAAATATGGACATTTCGTATGAAGCCGGTGCACTCCATTTTTGTTGCGTCAGCAACGTTGATTGAAGTTGGGGAAACATTTCACTGCAAATGAGTAAATGTCCGACGTTACCTAAACCATGCGATCGGGGAAAGAAGTTAGGTGATATGAATGTCGAGAAATACGCTCATTTTCAAATCAACTTGGTTTTCACGAGGGAGTCAACTGAATTTCTCGCTTATGATATTCTACAACTGAATGTGCTGCGCACAGGCCGCCTCATGATACAGTTGGCACGAGATTTGAGATATCGCAGTATATTTTTATAAAAGAAACTACTTACAAGGTTGCTGAAAACTGTTCGACAGCCCACGACCGGTTGTGCCCTTCTTAGGGCTCATATACTGCGATATCTCAAATCTCGTGCCAACTGTATCATGAGGCGGCCTGTGCGCATCACATTTAGTTGTAGGATACCATAAACGAGAGATTCAGTTTAGTCTCTCGTGAAAATCAAATTGATTTGCAAATGAGTGTATTTCTCGAAAATAGTCCAATTGGGGTTCAAGCAGAACGTAGAGCTGACGGAAACTCGGGGGCTACGGCCAGCTGATGAGCCCCAAGAATGGCGAAACCGGTCGTGGGCTGTCGAAGCGATTTCAGGAACATTGTAAGTAGTTTCCTCTGCGATACAAATGTCTTCATAGACATTTCCGAACTTCGTCTCATCACCAAAAAGATGGCATACTCAAAGGCTCAATTTTTAAAACCGCACATCGATATTTCGCATCAGCTTTAGATTTTCCTTAAATTTTTCAAGTCAGTAATTCAGTAGCTCGTGCTGTTGTCAACAAATCTTTAGAATATCGATTTTTCTTTGAATGTTTTTGACTTATTATTTGGTCACTAGCTAGAGGTTAGTGTGTCCTTTTTAGCGAATGTACACTTATTTGCAGACTGACTTGGTTTTTCGAGAGACTCACCTGGAACCCAGCTGAATCGCCGTTGGTGATAAATCTTTAGAATATCGATTTTTCTTTGAATGTTTTTGACTTATTATTTGGTCACTAGCTAGAGGTTAGTGTGTCCTTTTTAGCGAATGTACACTTATTTGCAGACTGACTTGGTTTTTCGAGAGACTCACCTGGAACCCAGCTGAATCGCTCGTTGGTGATGTTTCCAGTCGACGGATTTTCAGCAACCTTATGAGTAGTGCATTACAAATAATAATGTCTTTGTTGTGCTAATGCGATGTTGCTGTTGTTTTGTATGCATTTCTGATAAAACGCCGTGGTCTGTCCTGATGTACAAAGTTCAAACGCAAAGATTTACACGTGTACCTTGGAAATATTGTCTAGCATTTGTTACCGAAGCCTGTTTATTTCTCTTCTTGGTTCAAGTGGTTTGACGCCAATGCAGCCGGTCTCGGTGTTGGTGCTGAACTGGAGCTACAACAGAGATTACAACAACAGCAGCAGCATCAACAGCAACAACATCAACAGCAACAATTGCAGGCCAGCCAACAAGCTCTAGCAGCCATGGCCTACACGCCAGTAAGTCTGGCAGGGGTCGGCCAGGTGGCCGGTTCCAATGCTGCAATCAATGCGGCCGGACTTGGTAATGCACTCCCGCCATCCTACGCAGCAGCTGCTATGGCAGCCAATGTGTTGCGTGCGTTTTCCGGAACAACGACCCCGCTGATGAATGCCACATCAGCCACTTCACGCAGTGCAGCGGGTGCCACCAATCTTCAAAGTTTCACCTCATCCGTTGCTTGCCCGGCACCCCAAGGGACTCAGGCATCGCTAACACCAACGTCGGTTGTCTCGAGTCACACGTCGGTCCCAACTCCAGTTCTCTCGCCCGTTGTGGCACAAGTTGGATCTCCAGCTGCGGCCGCAGCTTCCTGTTCGAGCCAGCAACCGATAGCCGCTGCGGTTGCTGCCGCAGCTGCAGCGGCGTCACAAAATCTTCAAGCACAATCAGCAATCGGGGCCCAGAACAACCCGTGAGTACCCTAGTTTTTTGCATGACACCAAGTGCAAAAAGTTTCTAACTCACCGTTCAAGGTAGTGGTCGATTAAGAGAAAACTTGAACTGCATGGCATGGTTGCTTTTCTGCAGCGCTTTCAAACAAGATTAACTTTTATAAAATACGGTATTAATTGGTATTATACGTTACTGGACAGCCTCTACTCGGATGACTTTTCTAATGTGGTCCGAGGGGTGATATCGTTTGTGAAACACATAAATGTGAGATCACACAGAAATTCCTGATACATCCTTCACTTAGAAGGTGTTGTATCTTGGTGGACGATCGTGGACGATCTGCATCGGTCCCTTGGCCCACTACGGTATATCAAATGGTACGGTAACTCTACACAGCCCTTTACGGAGACAAAAGAAAATTATTACAACTGTATTTATAGGGTAGTCACAGAGTGTTCCACAAGGTCGTGCCACAATCTCCGTGAGGGGGCGAGAAGCGTTGAGTCAAAGGTGCTTGACTCGGATTGGCTGGCATTCTGACCAATCAGGGCAAGCCTTCGTTTGGCCCGTGTCCTGCACGTGACACATCCGCCCAAATGATGTGATGTTCGGTTATTAGGGACGGCTGGCCTCCGTACAGAAGGTATCTTGCTCACCAAACCATTCATTTTCAAAGAAGAACACGGATCGCTGTCCAAATCTGACGTCGTGTTGATGTTACTGTGCTAGACTTGAACAAACAAAAAGAATACCACTAATGTGTGGTCATATTCAAGCGAAGATAGGCCTCAAGTTCACATGCCGGAATCGATCACCTAAAAATTCAGCCTAGACTATTTATGATAAGTTTGGATTCCCGAATTTAGGCCCCATTAATGCAGAAAAACGCCACGGAAGTAAAATAGCCCCTCAAATCTTCAGCAGTACACGCATACTAGATCCCCGACAAGCCACTGACTGGTTTCATTGATTTCGCCCACCACAGATACGCACGGAATCCGTTTATCTGCCTTTTAAGCAGTATGCTATCCTAGAACTTTCAGCTCTGGATTCCTGCCTGAAAAGCCATAGTGACACTTTGTGGCTGTTTTTAGTTACTCTACAAGTTGCCAGTAGTGCAGTTCTTCCCAAACCCCAATAAGCTTTACTCGCATGTACAGATATCCAGAAAATTCCCCACTCTCCTGCTGTGAACGACAACCGGATGGTCATCTCGTGCTGATATTTTGCTCATCCTCAAGGGCACAGATATATGTAAGACCGTCTGCTTTCAACTGCTTCGTCGGGACACTGCTTGGTGCGTTTTACTCTCGAAGCGCGCCGCTTATGTTTTGTTAGTAGTAAGTGGTCTTCCAGGTTATAATTCCGGACGTCGTCCGGGGCAATTTTTTCACGCGTATGTTTTGCAACGTACGGAATTTCGTGCTGGGATCATGATTTTCACTGTCGCGTTTGGAACGGTGCACTTCATTGTGAAGTGTAGCTTAATGAACAATTCTGTCCCACTATAGCCGAAGCAGTTAGATTTAGTTGGTTCTTGAGCAGAGGACTTCAAGCCTCAGAGTCTTGGGAAGTCTCCAAATTTTTCAGCATATTCCCACGACAAAACGAGGATGTACACTACACTCATTTATGGAGCGATTGGAATCCAAACGATAATAAAACACATTAAAGAGCAAATAAAAGTTCAGCACGGAGAATGTCCTTAATCATGCCAATTTATCAGTCCGATTGATTTGTTCACCAGTTACGCTTGCCTCATCCGAACACACAGAGATATAGTATGCATTGTGTTGGACTACTTCATATCATGGAACTCCGTTCTTTGTAGTTTGCTTGCATACGTGGTCCAATATGAGCCATGGAATGAATGTTCCCGGTGTCGACAACTAAGACACGTGGTGCAAAATAAGCAACCGGGGTTGCTTTTTTAACTTGTTTACAGTTTATTCCTCTCGGTCGTTTGAGGGTTGTTACCAAGCTACATGGAGTGCCCGGTTAATAGATGAGAGTATGCCATACCAAAGCGATTGCGCAACGCACCCTTGAAACCATATCGATCGCTAACGCACAGATTGCCTGTCCATCCAACTCAGAATGACTCATCCATTAAGCAGCAAAATGAACCACTTGCCGTGGCTGATGGATATTTCTATTTCAAATCTAGAGAGCGCGCACGCCCGTGCAACGCGACTGGACAACCGAAGTCTGACTAGTACTACCCGTCAGTCCCGGGGCTTACAAAAGTTGCATCGTACACTGAACGTTCCTTTGACATCGTCGATTTTTCCAATCGAGGTGTAGTGTGAGTTCTAGTGATAAAAACCGGCAAAATTACGTCGCAGTCGGTCATAGTGGAGTGTTTGTCCACCAGAAACATTTCCAAGGCTAAACGGTTAGATCGTGTCACAGTAATACTAAAACAAACTGATAAATTCTCACCATTACCTGTGAATACATACGATGACCTTGCATGTACTAAGTTTCGAACATCGATTTCTGCCTGAAGTGGCGGCATTCAGTTTTTCATTCTGATCAAATCATCTTTGTATGTTTCCCCAGCCAGGCATCGCTTACAAAAACCGTAGTATTGCTTAAAAATCCCAAGTTTTACCAAACATCCCTACTAATTCCGTCTTTGATGGTGAGTAAGTGGGTCGATACGTGATTAAATCCACTGATATGTGAGTGGTAATTAAGGCGGTAAAAAACAGAATGCTTGAGAACTTGAGTCTAACGTTACCCTATACGGCCTTGGTTTTTGAAGGCTATGTAAGCCCTGGAAATGTGAGTTTGGAATGTATATAGTGTGGAATCATTGGGTAAGGCGCTGGGCTATCCATGTCGCTTGCTGTATGTCACACTTATGGAGTGGAGTCTCCCACATGAGTAACTGCTTCATTTGTCAGCGTATTGGTGAACCGCTTGCGTGGTGCTCCCCACTGTCAATCCCCAATAACTTGAGTTTGAAGGATTCCGCATATGAAGTGGAAGAGTGCGGGGACTCTGTTTCTATGCTTTATCTTCTGATGTGAAAGTTTGTCACCTGTCTGTTCGTCACGTATTCTAGACCTTTGTACAGCGACCAAATTTACATCACGTCACATAAAAGACAGACATCAGGTTCATTTAAGGGCTCAGGTAGCGAAGAGCCAAGCAACATTTAGTTCAGCGCTGCTGTTCCAACCCATCACACTACTCATCAGTGTGTCTTTCGCATTCAAACAATGTAACAAATGAGTTTCACTCCATAACCATTCGAAGTACCGCAGAATTCAGCGTCCTCAGTAGTTTAGGACATCATGTGTTGAATGAGTCTTCCGGCATTTATGGTTCAAACCTTTCTACTAGAGTCGTACGGGTGTGAATAGAAATCCTTCTACTGTACGGTTGGTATCATCAGACAGATCCTCCGCATGCCGACCTACAACGCCGCATGTCTCCAAAATCTCCGACCAGTCAACTTAATCTTCCGGTCATTCAGTTTGCATACTGCGTTTTCTCACGTGTACGCGCCTGTGTATGGCGCATGGAACCTTGCGCGCGGACCATCCCGTAGGCCTTGACCGTCCTGCCCCACCAGGTACGACAGTGCACTGGGTCAAATGGTCCCAGTTGCAACACATGTTGGCCCGTCGTGGGGATGCGACACAGGCTAACAGCACAAGCTAGATCAAATTGTTGACTGATATAGCAGCAAGTGTCATATTGGAGGGACAATCCAAGCTCACCAGCCGAACTATTTGCAGAAATGGGTAGGCTGGAAGCCCCGTCAGGACACGACAGGGGACAGCCAGCTGTCTCATAGCACTGGAAGGCAGGAAACCTTCTGCTCAAAGTGTAACCGAATGAGCTAAACAATCCTCTGTTGGCTACCGTTTCAGGACTGACCGTCAGTTGGACTGCAGCATGCGTCACCATTGCGCATGTAATTCCGTGGAGAGTTCAGCCTTCCAGAATACCTCAACTTCGAACTGTCAGCTCACATGGTCACTTGGTAGCCTGAAACATACAGGATCTTCTATAGGCGGAATGAGCACCACTGCCAACGGTCTGGGGTTCAACTAGCAAGGGTTCAGCTCCAGACTACTCAATCAGTTCTGTTTCTTTTTTGAAGTTGGTGAAAAGAGGAAACCCATCCGCTGCGAAGTCAACTGTTAGCAAATAAGAACTAAGCAGTTACAATTCAATAGATAGGAATGTAAACATCATATATGCACATGGTCTTTGAAAAATGAATGCTCTCACGCGTCCTTTTGAACCTTCCTGGATATTCATTGGTCATCACACAATATTGAACAAACACTGCGAAATGGTTCCACAACTTCCGCAATAAACTTCACCTTCCATCAGATGTGGGATGGAAGCCTAAACACCAAACCGTAGGCTACTCGCGTGCTTCATCATCGTTACAGTGGTAGCTTCGACATTCAAAATCACCCCTAAATAAAGATAGTGGTCTCGGGATAGCATAAAATACATCTTTGTTTCACCCTTGATTAACCATACAGCCTCTTTCTTGGAATATATGACCTTGGATGGAACCACCAGTAAATAACACCGAACGAATGAAACAATTGATGCCAAACTGTTTCTTTTTAGGAGAACTGTGCTAATTACATGAGCCCCAGCATCTCATCCACTCGTTTTGGGAAACGGTCTTTTAACGCTGACTAGCTAATTCAAGAAGAACTTGAGTGAACTACATTACCGCCCATCAAAGTTTTTATTATGCCAGCCGTTCGATCATTGGATTTCCTGGTTGGGAGTAAAGATTTATTTCTCGTCTGCCTCTATATTTCCATGTCATAACCGTTAGGAATTCACTGCACTGTCTATTCTTGCCATTCCTCTTTGCGGTACACTTGTAGCTATCTGCCGGATTTAAACGTGGCGGCAGCTGCTGCTGCAAGTATGGAGCCATATTTGAATCGGCTGACTGCAACGTATGCTTTGAACAACGCCGTTGTCACCACACCAGCCATCTATCGGACAAATTCCAGCTACCAGAGGTTTTCT